ATTATGGATTGTACTCGACTCAACGGCACTTAACAACTTGTTCAGGTCCCTGGGGCTCAAATCTTTACAGAAGACTGCTCAGCTATGTCCTGAAGAGTGGCTGGTGGATTCCAACTGTCAAATTCCCAGTTAGCAGATCAATGGTATGGCCCAGACCAGACTTAAGCACCCTAATTTGTGAAATTGCAAGTGACAAATAACCCCAGACAAAACAATTTTGAAAAATCCTACACAATTTGGAACAGACTAGAGAGCATGTTGTTGAGTGAACTCAGTCTCATAAAGACAAATACTGTGTAAGACTATTATTGTAGAAGGATAGTAAAACATGTATGGGGACCTGAAGGGGAACGGGTGGAAGCAGAGGGGTGAGGATGGATAGAGGCGAAACCACAGGGTTGCACAATTTGGTGGGTGGAGGGAGGGGGTGAAGGAAAAGGGAAGGATCCAACAGGGATCTGAAAAGACAGGGTCATGATGGGCAAGGGCCCATGGTGATTAATTTTATAAAACATTACTGAAGAGGACCTGAAGCGCCTGCTGCAGAGTGTCAAGGACTGCAGCCTACAATATGGATTGAGGCTCAATGTCAAGAAGACAAAGATTCTCACCACTGGACCAATTGGCAGCATCAGGATGGATGGTGAAGAGATTGAGATTGTACACAGCTTTAGTTTGCTTGGCTCCATAGTCAACAGTCTTGGCACCAGCAGCCAGGAAATTAAAAGGCGCATTGCCATGGGAAAGTCTGCTGTTAGGGACCTCTTCAAAGTGCTGAAGAGCCGTGGTATCTCTCTGGAGACTAAGGTGTGTCTGATACAGGCCATGGTCTTCACAATCACTTGTTATGCATCAGAGAGTTGGACAGAGACCAAGGAGGATAGAAGGAAAATTGATGCCTTTGAGCTGTGGTGCTGGAGAAGAGTATTGAGAATACCATGGACTGCTAGGAAAACAAACAGATTTGTCCTGGAAAGGGTTAAAACGGGTGGCTCCTTGGAGGCAAGGATTCTGAGGCTCCGTCTAACATACTTTGGACATGTTGTGAGGAGAGACTGGTCCTTGGAGAGGGACATCATGCTTGGGAGGGTGGAGGGACGGCGCAGGAGAGGAAGGCCCTCTATGAGGTGGATTGATTCAGTGACTGGGATAATTGGGATGGGAGTGTCAGAGACAGTGCGATTGGCACAGGACAGAGCAGAGTTTAGGGCTGTTGTACATAGGGTTGCTATGAGTCGCAAGCGACTCGACGGCACATAACAACAACAACAGCAATGCATGGTTTATGCTGAGTGAAATACCTCAGTCATAAAAGGACAAATACTGCATGGTGCCACTGTTGTAGAAAGGGATTGACATCAAGGTTGGGGTAAGACTGAGAAAAACTGGATAAATTATGTATACTGCATTGAAACAGATGAGGGAGAGAGTAATTTAAAAGCGATATATGATAGGGTATTATAGTTATCACAAGAGTCCAGAATGAAGGTTCCATAGTGGAGTGTACTCGGGGCAGTGGGAGGTGGGGTGGGGGGATTTTATACCAAAGAAAGAATCTTTCTTTTGCTTTTCAAAGAGAGGAGTGAACTGGGCTGGGGGAGGGGTGGACAGGGAGAAAAGTGCAACAATGAATGAATGGAAATCCAAAATCTCTGTAAATCTTAATTAAAATTAATAAAATTAAAAAATGTAATGCATGATAATGATTGCATGAAACACAATGTGAATGAAGAAAAGTGTGAAACACTATGTAAATGAACTTTATAAGTAAACCAACATAAAATAAATTTTTTTAAAAAAGAAAAACAACTGTGCTGAGTCTCCACTGCCCGCAGCAGTGGCAAATGCTCACTGTTGTTGTGTACCCAGGGCTGACCCTCCAGGGGGTTTTCAGAGGCAGTAGACTGCAGGGCAGCTGGTAGATTCAAACTGTGTACCTTTGCCTTGACAACACAATTCCTTACCACCACGCCGCCACAGCTCCCCAGAAAAATGGGAGGGAAAAAGAATACAAGGGCTCACAGGAATGGTACTGGGATTGGCTGATTAGAAAAGAGACTAAAGTCAGTAGTTTCAAAAGAAGCTAAAGAAAAACAAAGGGGGGAAAAAACATAACACACACACAGAAAGAAAAGAAATAGACATACATCGATTTAATCCTCCTGGCCTTGTGCCAGTCATATGAAATGCATCTCAAGATTAGCAGCGGTTTGTCCTGGCTGAAATTTTCTTCCAGTTCAGCTTCTATCTAGTTACAGTTATTGTTAGGAATGGTGTCTATGTAGTTTGATTTTGCCCTTGGCTTCTTGGTTTGGGGCTTAGTTTTTTTCTTTTACTTTAGTCAACTACTTTTCAGAATTGCCTTATTGAACTTTACTCAGTGCACAAATACTGGTAAATGCTTTCTCTTACACTTTTCTACTGTGTGTCTCTGTTTTCTTACTTTATGTCAAAGGTGAGGCCCTTTAACAACAGGAATTCTCAGTGTGAAGAAAGGCATGGCTGTCCTGTCCATGGCTTTAGTAGGAAAGGTTTTAGTGTCCACCCATTGACTATGTCTTCCAATAGTGCCTTCTTAATACTCTCTCACATTTTGGATGTTTTCCTTCTATCAAGTTTATCCTTTTTAAAAATTGTCTTTATGTCTTGGAGGGGAGACTGAGAAAGAGGGGATAAATTATGTATGTGGTATTGAAACAGATGAGGGAGAGAACTGTTTAAAAGGGAAATATAATTAGGTATTATTGTCATGACAGGAGTCTAGAGCGAAGGCTACACTGTGGAGTGGACTTGGGGGAAGGGGCTGTATAACAATGAAAGAGTTTTTCTTTCTTTTCAAGGAGAAGAGAAAAGTGCAACAATGAATGACTGGAAACCCTAAGTCTCTGTAAACTTTCAATTAAAAAAAATTTTAAAAACACACCCGTAAACACACACACACACACACACACACACACACACACACACACACCCATGAGGCTCTTTGTTGTTAGGTGCCATTGAGTCAACTAGGACTCATAGAGACCTTCTGAACGCTGGCCCCTGCTCTAGAGGAAGACGTCAGTGCGGTGTGACTGCAGCAGTGGGCTGGAACACAGTGCAGACTCTGAGGATGTCGCAGGACAGGGAGAGACTATCATCTGTGGTTCATAAGGTCGTTATGACTCAGAGTCGACTGGACGACACCTGTCCACAGGCTCAGCACCTTTCTACCAACAGACGCAGGGGAGACCTCTCAGGTAGCCTCTCCACGTCTTCTGTGGTTACCCATCTAGTCCAGTTTTCTAATACTTAGATTAAATTTAGTAATTGACATTTTCCCGGAGAACTATCTAATTTCCCCTGGAGTTTAAAAGACATGAACATAAGGGTGCTTGTAATATTTTGTTAGGATTCTTTCATATCTGTTGTCAGAATAGGTTTACAAACAGATAAATCATTGTTGGGGAGTGAACAGTGGGGTGGGAAGCGGGAGAAGGCACTAAAAATGAATAAATAGATAAGTGGGTGAAAAGAGAGGTAATAATACAATAAGGGGCTGATTAGACATTATAATTAATTTATTACATTAATCAATTATAATTAATGTTATGAAACAAAATGTCCACAAAGGATTGAATGAAAGGCCAATATGATTTGAGCTTTCACTCAAATGTAAAGAAATTAAAAAGGGAGAATGGAATAGCAACAACTGCAATGTGTATCCTTTTAACCTTTCAAAGGGCTCATCTCACGTGAGCCTGTGTTCCTCCTGGGTGGGTGGGGAAACTGAGGCACAAAGGGTCAATGGCCAAGGATGTCAGAGACTTGGCGCTGGCCCAGCACTCCTCTCAGGGTCCCTGTCCACCATGTTCCTAGGGGGCACCTGGAGCCAGAGGATAAGGGACCCTGGGGCAGGGCATACCGCCCAGAAAGGGGCTCCCGCTGCACAGGACATCCCAGCCCCAAATGTGAGGGAAACTTGCGTGTTCAGCTGTGGGAAGTGCACTCCCACAGGTATGATCAGGAGGGGTCGTGGGATTAGAAAGCGATGGGCAGGCCTGCAGCGTCACTGCAACACTCCCGATGATGAGGGGACACCCTGCTTTCCTCTCCTGGCTCAGTAGTCCCTCTGAGCTGGTGCCCCTCGGTCTGGCTGTGCACAGCAGACCCATGGCCAAGTGGTACTTTCTTTTTAATTATTATTTTAATAATAAGTTGTGTTTTCAGTGAAGATCCTCACACAACACTTTGTGCACAAGTTGTCCAGTGACACTGGCTACTCTCTTCACAATGTGTCAATAGTCTCATTCTTTCTATTCCGGTTGCTCTGTTTTCATTCATCTAGTCTCCCTGCCCCTTCACATTTTCATCTTTGTTTTGAAGCATGTGTTGACCATTTGGTCTCGAATATATAGCAGTTTTTTTAGAAGAACCACAGTACTCATGGGTGATGTGATATTGTTTATTTTATGGGAGCTCTAGTGACGTTGGTAAGAAGCTGTGCTGCAATCCCAAAGGCACACAGTTGGAATCCACCAGCTGCCCCGCAGGAAAAGGATGAGCAGTCTCCTCCTGTGTGATTAACTGCCTCTGAAAACCTGCCAGAGAGTCAGCTTTGGGTCAGTACCAACTCTATGGTACACAACAACAACAACAACATCTGTTATTTAGCAAAAAGATGACTCTGGGCTGGTTTTGGTTCAGAGTTCAAGGAGTACCCCAGGGCAGTAGTCGCAGGGAATCCTTGAGTCTCAAGGGAAGTTTGTTTTGTTTAAATATATTATGTTCTGTTCACACTTTTTCCCCATTCTACTAGGATCCATTCCTTGTAGTGAAATCAGGACAGTCAGGAACTGTAGCCGGGCACCATCTAGTTCCTCTGGTCCCAGCATAGAGGAGGCCACGGTTCCCCCAGCGCATTGGTCCTGTAGGCCAGTTTCCGGTGGGTCTTTGGTTTCTGTTGGTGTTTTCTGCTCCAGGACTTACTAACTAGACCAATTCTCTACTCTCTGGTCCAGACAGCTGCTGAATGGGCTGAGAAGATGCCCCAAAGCCCCCTGCCACCCAGGTTCCCACCACCCAAGGACACTGGCCAGAAGGACATCCTGGCCCGTCTCCAGAAAGCAGTGGCCACCCACTACAGCGCCATCACTCAGGAGTTCCAGAACTTTGACACCATGAAAACCAGCACTGTCTCCAGGGACGAGTTCCGGGCCATTTGCAACCGCCACGTGCAAATCCTGACAGACGAGCAAGTAAGACGGGCTCCACGCTCCGGGCTCCGGGCTCAGTGCTCTGCACTCCAGGCTCCTCTGTCCAGCACTCTACTGACCAGCCTGGAGCCCCTGTGTCCTGAGGGCATAATTTACATTCCACTCTCTTTTCTTTTTTTTTT